CCCCCCCCCCCCCCCCCCATAGTTCTCCTTTAAAACTCAGTTTTATCATTTATATTTAACTTCCTGTAGATTTTATATTAGGATGACCTCTCTCTGGCCTCCCATCAGATATTTCGAAGACCAGGGCCGGGCCAAGGCAGAGGCAGGAGAGGCGGATGGGGTGCAGCCAGGACAGGAACCTCCCTGTCTTCTGCCTCGCCTGCACTTGGTCTAGCTCTGATCCCGGATGTGTGGTTGGGGGCTCCTCCTAAAAAGGTCATCTCGCTTGAAGGTTCGTTTGAGTTGTTTATTTCTAAGAAAATGCCAGACACAGCCAACGGTGGAATCAGACTCCTCCTTCTCCAGGCCTAGCGTACCAAAGAACAATAAACATATAATCTATATTTCCATCTAAGATACAGTATTTGATGTTATTAGGGATGTCCCGATGCTGCCACTTTTTAAAGACCAAGTACAAGTACTTTCCCGCATGTACTTGCCGATACCAATTACCGATACTACTGGTCCTCCTCTGTTAGTAGGCATCGGGATCCCCCAGCTTTGGACACTGGGGCGGTCACTCCGGTAGTTCTGCCCGTGGGGCTGTCCATGGCTGTGGCTGCACCGGGAAGGAGGAGGAGATAAAGAACCAGGCAGGCGCTGCCATGGACAGCTACTTGCAGGTCACCAGCAAGCTGCTGAGGTCCCCACAAGCGCATATTCTCAGCAGCTGCTGCGATTTAAAAATGTACCGGTATCCGTCTTAAGAATCGGGGCATTTTCGCAAGTACAAGTAGTTTTGAAAATGCCTGGTATCGGCCCCGATACCGATACTAGTATCGGTATCTGGACATCCCTAGATGTTGTTATCATATACCCTTGCATCCACTGGATCCGGGCTATATGACGCAATGAAATAAAACATGTTGAAAATCGAGAAAAACTGAGACAAAAGTATAATAATACCCGCCTCCCGGCTTCCTGATTGGCCGGGAAGTCGGCTCCATGCTGTTTGGCAGGCTCCATGCTGATTGGCTGGGAATCCTCCTTCCCGCGCCTATCGGCATCAAGCTGGCCAAACAGCATGGAGCTGGTTTCCTGGGCAATCAAGAAGACGGCTGGAGGGTAATGACACGCCGCGCGGCTTCCTGATTGGCCAAGAAGCCGGCTCCGTTCTTCCGGAAGTATCCGTATTGGCGAGTACTGATAGATAAATAGCGGTACTCGATACAGAAAATCAGGAATCCGCGCATCTCTAGGTAAAATGTGACACAAAAAAACTAAATATAAGTGAAATAGAAAACAAAAACCAAACTTGAATTGATGAAGTTTTTGTTCTAATACCCTGTTTCCCCGAAAATAGGACCTACCCCGAAAGTAAGACCTAGTTTGGCGGTAGCATGTGAGGGGAAACTTGAAGAGCGGGAGAGATGGTGTCGGCCTGCAGGGACATACTGTATTAAGGGGATGACGGGGGACTCCCTCCGGCCAGCGCAGTGACAGGGAGCACTCCAGTACCATACTTCACCAACTGCTGTCCCCCTGAAGGCACTGCTTCATGTAATGGTACTGTACTGTAATGTGTACCGGGAAACAAAAGCAACACAGAGCGCCTCCATAGAGTAAAACTTTTAATTGATGAGTACAACACGCAAGTGAAAATGTACTTACCCGAAAGCCAATGATCATAAGCGTAAAAGGAAACGATAAAATATAAAATCTCCAGCAGGGGAAGTCTGAGGGGATCTCCAAATCAACGTCCTCTGCTCCCGTATGTTTTTTAAAAAGGTCTACGCGTTTCAGGGGCACGCCCCCTTCACCAGAACCTGAGTGTTGCTTTTGTTTCCCAGATCGATGGTCGTTGTTGACCGGTGGGAGCTGCCTCTATGGTGTACCAATGAACTTTACAGCCGGATTTCTCTGCAAATCGGGGGCGCCGGTATTGCTTTTTTCAGTGTAATGTGTACCGGTAAATGGTACCGTACTTTACCGCGCTGTCCACTGTCTGATGTGCCCCCACTGCTGCACCGCTGGTACCACTGCATCTGATGGCAAAGGAAGGCGGCGCTGTAGAAAGCAAGGCTGCGGCGGCGGAGGGAGCAGAGCCGCATTAGCCGATACTTCCTCTATAGCGCCGGTTACTGTGGCAGGCGGAGTGATACCGGATAACTTTAGATTGTTGTACATTTTGTTGCACATTAAAAAATAAAAATAAGACATCCCCTGAGAATAAGACCTAGTGTGTTTTTTTGGGGCAAAAATAAATAAATAAGACAGTGTCCTATTTTCGGGGAAACACGGTATATATGTGTTCCCCGAGTCCCTCACCAATGGTAATGGTAACCGCTCCTGTGATCACCGCACCGTCCTTTGTACATCTCGGGGGGGAACAGTCGCAATTATTACTATTAGGGGAAATCTGACTTTCTCTTCCTTAATAACAGACTTTTTGTTGCTCGTTTGTGTCCCAGACGTCGCCAACAAAGACGCGGAGAGCAACAGCAAAGTCCTGAAGACGCCTGTATGTAAAATAGAAGACCGCGCTCCAGGTAAAGGGCTGTGATCTGTAACTGTCATTATGAGAGTCACTTCCTGTGAGATAACACGTCATCAATTGATGTTCATTTTGTCATCTGTCACTCAGTAGCATATAACGGCCGCAGGAGGCCTTCTCCCAGGACAGAGGTTAGAGTAGAATATAGAGGGTTTCACACATGCCGCTATACCCCTCCAGATAGCAGACATAGCTGAGGACAAAGGTGGAATGATAACTCAATTACAATTCCTCTTTGAATTATATTTGTGACCATAATGAGTAGGGATGCACCGATACTTTTCCGATACCAGTGCCGATACTTTTCGGATATCAGTGCCGATACTTGGCATTTTCATGAGAACTACCAGGGTTGCAGAGGTTGCAGCTGGGACCGGGCTCTGGTGCTCCACCGCTGTCCTGAAATCATTGTCTGTATTGTTAATGAGTAGGGATACACCGATACTTTTCAGATACCAGTGCCGATACTTGGCATTTTCATGAGAACTCCCGGGGTTGCAGCGGTTGCAGCCGGGACCGGGCTCTGGCGCTCCACCACTGTCCTGATATCATTAGTCTGTATTGTTTTACAAAAACTGTCACATGACACTAAACAAAAATGTATCAGTACTTGTACTCGCAAAACTGGTATCGGTGCATCCCGAATATATATGTTTATAAAAACAAAATCATACATTATACAGAGATGTACAAATCCCGGGAGCTCCGTGTGCTCCTTACACATGACAGCCGCCTCCTAACTTTTGATTTTTTTCTCCAGTCTAGTCTTGGAGCTGGAAAAGTATCGGTACTTGTACCGAGTGCGGTACTTGGTATCGGTGCATCCCTAATAATAAGGTCTGGCCAACCACAAACTGAAGGGAGAGAATAGGGAAGTCATATTGAGCACAGTGCCACCCTCATTTCTCCACAATCCACCAGTTGATAAAAATGGGA